CCTGTACAATGAGAGACACATAGATCAATGGAATGGAATTGGGAACTCAGAAATCAGCTCATCTACCTATTGTTAACTAATTTTTGACAAGGAGATGAAATCAGTTAAGTGGGGAAACGAAAGCTTCTTTTAACAAATGGTGTTGGCAAAAATTGGAAAACTCTGCAGAAAACTCAAGCAAGACCTACACCTCACACCATACACATAAAAACAGCTCAAAGTGAATCAAGGACCTAGGACTAAAACCAAGGACTATAAACTTCATTAAAGAAAAAGCTTGGACAAACTCTAGAAGCCCTAATCCACAACATGAACAGTCTTCCAAGCATCCTAAAAACCCTACAACCAGGAGAGAATAAAATAGATGAACGGAACCTTCTAAGAATCAAATCTTTATGCATATCAGAAAACTTCTCCAACAAAGTAAAGCCACAGACTGGGAAAAAATACTTGGTAATGACATGTCTGATAAGGGACTTATATTTAGAATTATCTCAATAAGATAAAGGCAAACAATCCAATTGCTAAATGGGTACAGGATATGAACAGATATTTCACCAAAGACATTCAGATGGTGAACAAATACATGAAGAAATGTTCAAAATCCCCTAACTCTAAGAAAGATGCAAATCAAAACAACTATGAAGTATCATCTCACCCCATTAACAATAGCAAAGTTGAACAGAACAGCAAACGATAAATGCTGGCAAGGTTTTGGAGAAATTGGAACCCTAATTCACTGTTGGTGGGAGTGTAAAATGGTGCCATCACTATGGACGGCAGTATGGTGACTTCAAAAAGTTGGAAATAAAAATATCATCTGACCCAGTAATTTTTCTACTGTGAATATACCCTAAAGAAACTAGAACTACCACCCAAACTGATATATGCACACCCATGTTTATTTCTGCATTGTTCACAATAGCAAAGAGATGGAAGCAACCCAAGTGCTTATCAACAAATGAATGGATAGAGAAGCTGTGGTATATTCACACAAGGGAATACTATTCAGCACTGAAAAACAAGGAACTCACAAAATATTATACAAAATGGGTGACGCTGGAGGACATTATGCTGAGTGAAATATCTCAGTCACAAAAAGACAAATACTGCATAATGCCATCGTTATTAAACAGGACTGACATTGAGGGTTGGGAGAAACTAAGAAAAGAGGGAGTAAATCATGAACACTGCATTGGAATAGATAAGGAAAGAATTGTTTAAAAGGAATATATGATTAGACACTATTTGCATGACAACAGTCAAGAATAAAAGGTACATAGCAAAGTGGTTGGGGTGGGAGGAGGGAGGAAATTGTGCAGCAATGAATGAATTTTTCAAAGAGAAAAGCAAACTGGGGAGGAAAATGTGCAAAAATGAATGGATAGAAATCCAAGTTTTTGGTAAACTTTCATTAAAATCACAATTAAAAACGTATTTTAAAACAACAACAAATAATTGTTTGGGGGGGAGTTGTTGTTGGTGGTGGTTGTTATGTGCCATTGTGTCGCCTGCAACTCATAGCGACTCTATGTACAACAGCCCTAAATCCTGCTCAATCCTGTGCCAATCTTACTATCTCTGACACACCCACCTCCATTACCCCAGTCACTGAATCAATTCATCTCATCCAGGATCTTCCTTTCTTGCCCCCACCCTTCCAAACATGACATCCCTCCCCAAAGGACTGGTCCCTCCTTGCAACATGTCCAAAGTATGTCAGATGACACTTCAGAATCCTTGCCTCTAAGGAGCAGCCTGTTTTCACCGTCTGCAGGTCAGACATATTTGTTTTCTTAGCAGTCCATGGTATATTCAATACTCTTCTCCAGCACCACAGCTCAAAGGCATCAATTCTCCTCCTATCATCCTAAATTATTGTCCAACTTTCTGTTGCATAGCAAGTAATTGCAAACACTATGGCCTGAAACAGGCACACCTTAGTCTCCAGACTGTCATTATTGCTTTTCCGTACTTTGGAGAGGTCTCTGACAGTAGACTTTCCCAATGCAATTCTTTTAATGCAAGTCTTTTAATTTACTGGCTGCTGGTTGGTACCAAGAGTGTTGACTGTGGAGCCAAACAAACTAAAGCTGTTAAGAATCTCAATCTCTTCACCATCTATCATGATACTGCCAATCGGCTCAGTGGTGAGAATCTTTGTTTTCTTGATGATGAGCTTCAATCCATATTGAAGGCTGCAGTCCTTGATCTTCTGCAGCAAGTGTTTCAGGTCCTTCTCAGTTTCAGCAAGCAAGGTTGTGTCATATGCATAACGCAGATCTCAAAAATCAAGTGCAAATCAAGGGGGGAAAAATCAAGTGCAAAATCAAAGGCTGAAAATAGAGTAGAGTGACTGCCTTCTTTAATTCCTCATCTACCCAAGAGAAGACTATCCGCTTGGTGTGAAAAGGTCCACGGGGAAAGGAGAGGCAAAAAGGAAGGTAGGCAGGCAAACCTCATATTCATAACCATGAGGATTAAAGTGGAGTATATATACTTAATGATGATACCTTCTAGTCTCCTTCAGAAGGCATCAGTAACCACATATATCTATCTACTCAGGGTAGAGACTGATTTATAGAGAAGACCAATGAACCCAGAGGAAGTACTAAGGAAAACATCAGTGACTAAGGGTCTCCCAATAGAATGACGACATGCTCATACAATTCTTCCAAGTAAGATCACTAGCTGGCAGACTCCCGCCCAGGCTCACAGCTGTTTTATGTGATTCCCTCTAAAACAATGAGCCAGCAGAGTAAAAGGAAAAAAGATATTTAGAAGAAACGGAGGCAAAGCAAAGAAAACATAACCAAAAAAAGTGTAAAATCCTTAGAGAAAAGAACAAACTATTCAGATGAACGAGGACTACATGCAGTTAAAAAGAGAGAAAACAGAGTAATTTATAACACAGACAAGATCTTGGAAATTAGCATACATGGCAGCCCAAAAGTTTAAATACACTAGTAAAACTGAAAGGATAAGATGTGGGAGCTCTGGTGGCCTAGTGGCAAGGAGCTGCAACTACAATCCTAGAGGCTCATGGTTCGAATCCACCAGATTCTCTGCCGGGAAAGGAGGGACAATCTCCTCCTGTACCAGTCAGATCTGATTTGATGGTACACTCACACAAAAATAATAGAAAGGATAAGATGAAGAGTATTGCCCCAAAACAAACAAAGCAAAGAATGAAAAGAAGAGGGAAAAGATAAGAAAATTAGAATATCAAACTAGAAATCACACTTTTATCGAAAAAGAACTCTTTTATGGTTAATGCTGCTATTGTTGTTGAGAATATATGCAGTAGAATAAAATTCAATTCAACGGTTTTGAATTGACCGTCCACGGACATTGTACATTCTTGGGGCTGTGTAACCATTCTGGCCTTCTTTTACTGAGTTGTTCTTCCCAACCAACATAAATTCTCACCAGCCCCTAAATATCTTATTTAATCTTGAGTTACTGTTGTCACTATGGTCCCATACAGTTCCTAAAAGAACACATGTTCAAGGCAGTTATTCTTGAAAGACAGAAGAAACAGAGGAATAGAGGCAATCACTACAGAAAAAGTGAAAAACATTTTCCCAGACAGAAGGTTCGAGTTTTCAAAGGCATCTACACCAAGCACCTTGCACAATGAATGAAAACAAATCCACATTCAGAACCATCATCATGAAAGTTCAGAACATGTAGGACAAAGAAAGGATCCTAGAAGCTTCTAGAAAAAGGCATGCAGGCAGATCACAGACAAAGGAAAACCAAATGACAACAGACTTCTCAGCAACCATGCTCAAAGACAGAAGATGGAACCAAGTTTCAAAAATTCTGAGGAAAAAACACTTTCTTTTGCAGCTTTTTATTTCTGACCAGACTATTAGGTGTAATGAGATAAATTTTTCCAGGCAAAAAGTCTACCAAACTATTTAGTCCAATCATACTTTCACAGGAAGTCATCAAAACAAGAGAGTAAATTAAGAAGGAAAACAGGAGACCGTTGGACGGAAGGGGGGAAAGTTAAGCCAAGAATTGCATTTAAAAAGCTGGTTTTCCCTGAGCAACCCTTAAAAGCTAACTAAAACAAGAAGAAGAAGAAGAAATCAACCAACAAACTTGAATTTCATGGATACTGAAATGTACATTTATTCACATTTTAAAGTTTCTAAAATAGAGATATTGCAATTGGTGCCCATTTGGGTCAATAAGAAAGAGTTCTGGCAGTGCAGAGGTTAGAGACACGCCCCCCGGCTGAAAGGTCAGTAGCCTGAACTCGTCACTCACTTAAGGAGAAGGATGTGGCAGCCTGCTTCTGTAAAGATTTCAACTTTAGAAATCTCCTATTCTGTGCTATTTGGTTTCTATGATCAGAAATGACTCAATGAAAATAGGCTTGGTTTTTACTTAGGTCAATAAAAGAAGGCAGTAGCTAACCCTTGCAAACTGTTCAGAGTTGGTCATGGGATTTCATACATACTTTCTTCCTTGTTTGTTGTTGTATAACATTGATAGGAACCAACTCATAGCTGACCCTCCAGCAGGTTTTCAGACACTTAAATTGCACCAGAGGAGATTGCTTCTCCTTCTCCAATGGAGCATCCAGAGGATTCAAACGGCATGACTTCAGGATTGCAGCACTAGGCCACCAGAGCTTAGATTTCCTAAAACAAGTTTGACTAACCTCATACATACACAAAAAACAAAACAGAAAAACAAAATACCAGGTTTACCTAGGGCAGTGTGGGCCAAGGATTAGGGGCTAATGGAATGCCTTTTCCTGCTTTAGAAAGGCTATTTCATTTAGATGTCCTCATCATCTACTCCTGTGACAGAAACGCAGCTCAGAGAGATGATCCGCCTCACACAGCCAGCCAGGGGCAGAGCCGGGATTTGAACTCTATCGTTCTCTACAGTGCCTCTGCTATCTGGTTGACATGAGGAGCTGTATTCCCGTTGGAACCAGGCATAGGGAACCGAGCATCCACCTCCCCTGAGCGCCAGTGTACTTACTGCAGAACCATATCCCAGTCTGGGTCTGAGAGGTAGCGCTTAGATTCACACATGTACAGAGATCGGTATCGCTGCCGTCTGTTCTTTGTCTCCGTCAGCCAGGTGTTGAGGTAGCGGCCCACACCCACAGGGTTCTGCACCAGGATATTTAAAAAAAAGGGGAAAACAACAACAAAAACCTTCAAAGCTCATTGTTACTGAGTCTAAACCAACTCATAGCTCCTGAGGCTGTTAAGTTCTAAGGCTGTAAATTATAAGAGAGGACAGTGCCCATCTTTCTCCTATGAAAATCACTAGTGGATTCAATTCACTAGAGAGATTAGCAGCACAACTCCCCCCATAGACCAGGTCAGCAACAAACTGAATATCTAGCTTGGAGATTTTTGGCCTAGTCCTCTCCTACATTGTTGTTATTTGCCGTGGAGTTGGAACCAACCCATAGTTGACCGTCCAGCAGCTTTTCCGAGTCAGCAGATCATATTGGAGGAGATTGTCCATCCTCCTATGAGACATCTCATAAATTCAAACCACATGCCTTTAGGATTGCAGCACAGCTTCTTACCACTAGGCTACCACACACAGCTCCTTTTTCCTACGTTGTTGTTGTTAGGTGCTGTGAAGTCGAACATGACTCATAACGACCCAATGAACAAAAGAGCTGAAGCCTGTTCTATCTTGCACCATCCCCACACTTCCTGACACACAAGAGACCATTCAGCAGTCACCGTGTCAATCTACCTGGTTGAGGATCTTCCTCTCCTTTGCCAACTCTTCACCCTTCCCAGCATCATGTCCTTCTCCTAAGGAGTATTACCTGCTAGCAACATGTCCAAAGTATGTGAGGTGAAGCCTCATCATTCTTGCCTCCAAAGAGCACTTTGACTGCACCCTCTCCAAGACATCTGTTCGTTCTCTTGTCCATCCATGGGATGTTCAGTGCTTTTCTCCAACACCACAGCTCAAAGGCGTTGATTTTTTTTTTCTGTAATCCTTATTCATTGCCCAATCTCGGATGCATGGCTAGTAATCAGAAAGACTATGGCTTGAATCAGATGCACCTTAGTCTCCAAACTGACATCATTACTCCTCAATAACTTGAAAAGAGCCCTGCAGGTTTTCCCAGTGCAATGCTTCTCCTTATTTCTTCACTGCAGGTATCAAAGGTGTTAATTGTGGATCCAAGCAAGATGAAGCTGTTGACAATTTCAATCTCCTCTCTATCCACCACAACACTGCCTATCAGTCCAGTGTAAGAATCTCTGTTTTCCTGACATTGAGATGCAATCAATACTGAAGGCTGCATTCCTTGATTTTCTATAACAAGTGCTTCAAGCCATTCTCACTTTCACCAAGCAAGGTTGTGTCATCTGCATAACACAGGCTATGGATGAGTCTCCCTCCAATCCTGATACCATTCTCCTCCACATAGTGTCCAGTTTCTTGGATAATCTGCTCGGCATACAGACTGAATAGGTATGGTGAGAGAATACAACCTTGGCACACCCCCTTCCCAATTCCAAACCATACAGTGCTCCTCTGCTCTGTTCACACAATAGCCTCTTGTTACAGGTACAAGTTTTACATGAGCACAATCAAGTGCTCTGGGATTCCCATTCTCCTCAATGTTAGCCACAACTTGGCATGATCCACACAGTCAAACGCCTTTGCATTATCAATAAAACACAAATAGACATTCTTCTGGTATCCATTAGTTTCAGCCAGGATCCATCTGACATCAGCAATAATGTCCCTGGTACCACAGCCTCTTCTAAATCCTGCTTGAACTTCTGGCCATTCCTTATCTCTGTACTGTTCCAGTCATTTTTAAATGATCTTCAGCAGTATTTTGTTTGCATGTGATATCAGTGATGTTGTTGTTGTTGTTATGTGACGTCCAGTCGTGATACTGTTCAATAATTTCCACATTCAGTTGGATCACCTTTCTTAGGAATAAATATAAACGTCTTCCAGTCCATTGATCAGACAGCCATCCTCCAGATTTCCTGGCATGGACTGGTGAGTGCATCCAAGGCTGCATTTGTTAATTAAAGCAAGTAATTGGTATCATATTGATTCCTCAGGCCTTATTCCTTTTTTTTGCCAATTCCTTCAGGGCAGCTTCTACTTCCTCCTTCATTACCATTCGCTCCCGTTCATATGGTTCTTCCTGGAATTTTTCAGTATCAATCAATTCTTTCTGGTACAGTGACTCTATATATTCCCTTCATCTTCTTTTGATGTTGAGTCATTCAATATTTTACCCATAGCACCTCCTACATTACTCCTTCCGATTCTATCCTACCCACCACTCATTCCTGGGTGATAGATATAACAGGCATCTACAGAGATGTCCAAAGACGGAACATCGCCTGGATCAAGGGCAGGATAAAGGCAGGACAGAAACTCAGCTTCCAGAAAGACCCAGTTTCAGGAGGTGGGCTGGATTGAGGTTAGGAACAAGCGACCAGCGTTTTATCCTGAGCTAGGAAAAACTTGCCTCCCAGAGAAGCCGGCCTACCACGTGAAAAAGTGGATGCCCAGGCCAGAGAAAGGCCGATCAGAGAGGTTTCCAGCCCAGGAGAAAGGGTAAAGAGACCTCAACCTCATCGCAGCCCTTCCCATCTTCCGGGAAAACTGCCTTGAGATGGTAACATGTAACTGTCTATTACCTTAACACTTACTTGGGTGCCCAAGTTAAGACCCAACCCTCCCGCGAAGGTGCAGGATGAAAGTGAGAAAAGGAGAGATGAGGAAGTAGAAGGAGTGATTATCAGGTCTGGGTTCATCTGGTGCATCATTTTCCAGGGGAGAAGAGAGCTCCCTCTCATCACCATGGACCCCCTGCCCTGTCCCACCTTTGCCTCAACCCTCCAGGGCACAGCCTCTCACCCAGCTCCCCATCGTCATCTGGAAGGCCTTTGTGCTCATCCGCTTTGAAGACATCAGGAAGGGAGGTGGGTTGACGTTCTTACTCTCCTCCTCCCGAGGAACCCACATGCCAGGACCGGATGTGGCCTAGGAGTAAGGTGAGAGCACTGGGGATTTGGAGCCAGACACACGGGCTCCAATGCAGCCCCTCCTCTCCCTGCTGGGAAACCTGGGGAAACCTCTTCCTCTCTGTGTGTCTCTATTTCCTTTTGTGACATACAGGTGATAACCCCTCCCTCAAAGGGATTAAAATTACTAGTCTATGGTATCCTTTCCTAATCCAACTCAATCTTCCACCCTGTTTCCTCACCTGGCTAGGGTGTGTAACAGGACACCTAAACTCTGGCGCTCACTCAGACTGCCGACTGGCACCACCCCTCCCAGGAGTCCTCTGGTGCCTGAGGAACTCCGCCCCTTTCCGTGACCAGAGGGAGGGAGCAGTCCTTCATTCTGGGTAGGCCCCTTATTCATAAACTGCTCCCCATAGTCTTCCTTTTCTCCAGAGCTCTGGGAAGTGGGGACTGGGTAGGTGGAGCTCCATGCTGACCGAGCACTTGCTGCCAGCTGGATGCTCTGGACTCCAAGTAAATCAAATCAGTTACCATCATGTTGATTCCAACTCCTGATGACCATGTGTGTATCAGGGTAGAACTAAGCTCCATGAGGTTTTCCATCTTAAAGTAGAGCATCAGACACACCAACCACCTTGTGGAGTGAGTACCATTATCCTCACAGAAAGGCAAGTAAACAGAGGCTTGCAGAGTGAGAGTCAGTCAGAGTGACTGATAATTGCAAAGCCAGCATTAGAAGTCAGAGAGATCTGATTCCCAAGACCAAGCTTTTCTCCCTAAAACATTTCCCTACACACACACACACACACACACACACACACACACGTGCAGGACAGCCACCTTTCAAAAGAGGAAGGCAGGCCACGGAGGCACACTGACCAGTTTGCGGGGGCACTGGCTAAGGGTGGCCCAGTAGATCCTCTCAGAAGGAGTGTTGGGATTGCGGGGAAGTTTTGAAAACACCCCATGCTTCTTCTTGTGATGGGAGTTCAGTTCATCCACAAAGCTCTTAAAATTCACCAGCTCCCTCGGCTTTTTTTTCTGAGAAACACAGAGACAGAAAGGGCTCTATCAGGTCAGGAAAATCAAGAGCCCTCCTGCTTGATCCCATTAGCAACCTGGAAAAGCAAGTGCATGCAGCAATGAGGCAGCACTGACCACCCTGTCTGAGGTGGCACCCAAGGCCAGGCTGGAGGGTGGGCTATGATGGGTGGACACAGACATCACCCACCCAGCAGTTCAGGTTAGTCTGACACGGAGCCTCTTGGAACTCCCATCTATGTGCTCACACCTACGATCCAGCTTGCATTTATCCATTCGGTTTATTCTCATCCATTTAATAGACACTGACTCAAGCATTGACAGGCTGTAGCATCTGAGAAGGGTGCCTGAGGGCCTGATGTGTTGGGAAGGATCCTTTAGTAGCTGGCCATTGGGGTGTCGGAAAGGCCCAAGAGGAGAGGCCAGATCAGCTGGCAATTTATCCCCTGGTTCAAAAGTATTTCAGTGCTTCACCACCAGCGGCTCCACCCCTGGCCAAATGCCCCACTGTCCTTTACCTTAACATATTTCATCTACTAACATCTTATCTTATTAATAACTGTGTTCCTTAGGCCATCACCTGGTCTAATCAGGCCCACTCACTGAATACGTAACCAGCAGCCCTCCAGTTGATGAAAACTCATAGTGACCCCATGTGTGCAGCGTACAGGCACAGTCCACAAGTCCTCCAAAGCTGAGATCTTTTAAGAGCAGATCACCAGGCCTTTCTTCCAAGACACCTCATGTGGGTCAATAGTCAAGTGCTTAAACCATGAGTGCCACCAAAGTGCTCCAACTGAACGCATACAACTCTCAAAAGAAAACAACCCTCAAGCTTGTTGCTGTGGCGTCAGAACCTACCTTGCTGACCCTCCAATGGGTCTCGGGACTGTAAATTGCGCAGTAGATAATTGCCTATCTTTCTCCCTCAGAGTCAATGGTAGATTTGAACCAACAGGAGGCATGGCCTTGGGGATACCAGTGCTACTCCCTACAAACTACACCTCCAGAGCTCCAGTGAATGTGTAACGGAAACAAAAAAAAAACAACAAAACAAAAAAAACCAACCAACAAAAACCAACCACAAACTCTCAAGCAAAACAAATACTTCATTTCAATAGAGCATGAATAAAGCAAAGCCATGAGATGAAAGGAAGAAAGGGAAGAAAGCAACATTAGGCTAAAATCCTACCTCAGTTTCCCCTCTAGAATGTCTCTGCTTCATTAATGGAGCGCTGTCTCTGGTTAGCCACTTGAGCTGGGTTCATGATGTCTGGACAACATTTCCAACGTGGTAGGACACCCAGCGCTGTTTTGTTTAGGCCCCTACCCAGTCCTGGCACTACAGGACATCTGCACCCCTAAGCAGTGCAAGAAAGGTACCACGTGGAGAAGATGGACTCCCTAAGATATCTACCTCAGCTGTGCCCCTAGTCAACTGTGTGACCAACCTCAGTTCCTTCACAGAAGAAAGAGCTAGTAAATACCAGTTGCTCTTGACATTGAACAGAAAGCCCTGTTGTCCCGCTGGGGAGGGACCCCTCGCCACCCCAGCACCTTGTCCAACATACCTGTACAGAGTAATGTCCATAAGGCTGGGGCTTGCTCCGGTCTCCTGTGAAAGTGTCATAAGGGCCTCGGGTACCGACTCTTTGTGCCAGGTACATCTCAATGCCACTCTTTAAGAAGTAGGTCCCTGGTCCCAGACCACTTCCCTGGATAAAAGCAGAGCAGACAGACCCTTCAGGAGAGCTGCCGAGTGAGGCAAGCTCACTGCCTTCTCAGAACCTAGGTCTCCCCACTTGGAATCCCCACTCTGGGACGGTGATGGAGGGCTGACAAGCCCTCACCAGGTCGGGGAGATACCTGATGAGTCAAGGGGAGTGGCTTGTTGGCCATCCTGCACATGAGGCCCTCGGAATGGGAGCGTTTCCACGCCTTCCTCTCCAGTCTCATGTATGGGTTGCCCTTCTCGCCATAATGCCCAGGACCTGGATAGCAGTTCTGCAGAGAGGGTTTGGAAGATGGGGGTAACATAAAGGCTATTAGTTCTTCTCCTGAGCCAGGTAGAGATACACGGAACCCTCATTTCAAGGAGGGGTGTAGAACTTTGGGATCTCTGCATTGTTGCCTGGGAGCCACCACCACCGCCCAGATATTTATTTCCAAGTTCGGACTCTTCCCTGGGACGCCCTGGCTTCTCTAGCTTATCTCCCAATGCTCCCTTCCTCCAACCGGCACTTCAATCAACGTCCTTGTCCCCAAACACAAGCCATTCTGTCCATCCTCTTTCCTTTACTTGTTCATGCTGTTACTGCCAGCGGGAATGCCTTTCTTGTCTTTATTGTCTTGGATGTATTTATAAAGTCAGCTCAAAGAAGGCTTCCTTTCCCATCAACCTCAGATTATCGCTTGCATTTTCTCAGCCAATTCCATCCCTTACACCCAGCATCACAGAGCTGCCTATGCAAGAATGACTTTCTCACTGTGCTGTGGACAGATCTGAGTTCCAATTCTGAGCTGAGCTTTATGCTTGTTGCTTACTGCTGCTGAGCCAGAGACACCACATTAGTAGCAAGATAATTGTAGCACTTTGCCCCAGGATAATGAGGATCAAGTTAAATGATGTCATGTCTGCAAAGCCCCTTGCACAATGTCAAGCATGCATTGACCACAAAACCCCACTGCCATTAAGTCAATGCCGACTCATGGCGGCCCTATAAAATGCCTCAAAGGGTTTCTACAGCTATATTCTTATGGAAGAAGATTGCTACATCTCTCTCCTGAGAGCAGCTGGTGGGTTGAAATGCAAGTCTTTCAGTTAGCAGTGACCACTGTGTCATCAGGGCCCCTGTATGGTGACCACAGGCACATGCTAAGCTAGGGGCAGGAAGAGGTATGAAGGCTGAGAATTGTGGGTGGAATCATCATCTGCGACCTCAACTGCTAGAGTTAGAAGTGTGGCCTTGAATGGGAAGAGCTCATTCTATAACGTATGTGGGTGAGTGTGGATTTAGGTAGGGAGCCTGCTGCCCTGCACCTTTTAGCCACACGAGGTCACTACTGATCCGCAGACAGCTTGGTCCTACCCACCTCTGGCCCCTGGAATTTGGCCCTGGGAAAGCAGTCTAAAGAGGTTGACCTGGAACCCAGTGGGAGGAGTTGCAGGGAGTCCACCCTGGGAAGTTAAAAATATGCATTGCCTCTTTTCAGGGCTGAGAGTGCCCAGGGGCATGTGGCGAAAACACCGCAGGGGGAAGCTGGATCCCTGCACTGTGTGTCAAGTATTTTACAAGCCTACGCATCTTAACCCTGGCAGAAACACAAGGGGAAAATTAACCGATAGCTAGTTACCAAAATGACAACTATAGCAGTCCCATGTGCATTAGAGTAGAACTCTCTGTTCCACAGGAATTACAATGGCTGGTGTGTTGGGTTTTTTTTGTTTGTTGGTTTGGTTTGGTTCCTTTTTTTTTTAAGTACATCACCAGGCCTTTCCTCAGAGGCATCCCTGGGTGGACTCAAACTTTGAACTTTTAAGCCAGCAACCCCGCTGAATGTATTAGCCATTTATCTCCTGCTGTTGTTAGGTGTCATGGAGTCAGCTCCCACTAACAGCGACCTTGTGTACAACAGAATGAAACACTTCACCGCCCCCACAATCTCTGCTGTGCCCACTGATGCAGTTACTGTTACCAAGGATCTTCCTTTCTGGTACTTGCCCCTCGATTTTTTTCAAGCACAATGTGCTGGGACCATGCAAAAAAACTTGGTATTAACAGAGAAACAGAGTCACTGAGAAGTAAGTAAACTCACCTCTGCAAAGGGGCAGCACTAGGCTTTCACTCCCAGACTCAACATCTTTCTGAGCCCCTAGTAATTGCACCTGGCTCAGAGCCCTGGGTTGGGCTAAAAGAGGGATGTAGAAGGCGAAAACATGAACCACCTGGATGACTAGTGGATGTGGAGGAGGTAGAAGGAAGAGGAAACGTGTGTGTCTGTGCAAGCACAGCACATGTATGCGTGCCCATGTGTGTTTGTGTGGGGGTGTGTGCATGTGTTGGGGGTACTTCGGGATTTTTAAAGCTCTGGGGGCGTAAACGTTAAAGTACTCAGCTACTAAGAAAAAGGTTGGTGTTTCAAACACAAGAGATGGTTGCAGGAGTATGATATGGCAGCCTACTCCAGTTAAAGTTTACAGCTTAGAATCCCTACAGGGTAGTTCTACTCTGTCCTAGACAGTCACTATGAGTTGGAATCAACTTGATGGCAACGCGTTTGGGAGACTTTTAGGGTGGAGGTAAAAGTGCAGAGGGAGGAAGGTGGGGGGCAGCACTGACTGCCATCAAAGGACGAAGTTCCGAAACCAGACAAGTCAACACTGCATTTGCCAGGGCTACTGGGAGACTTCCTCGGGCTGTGATAGCTGTGTTCTCCCCAGAGAAGGCTTCCTGCTCCACCCCAGGTGCCTGAAGTTTTGGTATCAGCACCAGGAAGCACGTGAAGAGTGGTCAATGCTTTCTGCACTGGTGGTGTTTACAGAGCTGCAGTGATGGGGGTACAGTGGGTTCCCAGAGACTCAGAGGCCTCCTGGTTTTCAGTCCATATCTCCAGACAGGATGAAACTAAGAAAGATGGGCCTTGGATCATGAGCTCCCAAGGCTGCCGGCCCCGCTCTTTCATTTGACTCCTTCACCTGCCCAGCGCTGATTATAGGGGAGAGGCCTAGCCATGGTCCCTGCAGCAGCAAATGTGGAGCCCAAAGGAAGAGGAGCAGCCCAGATGCAGGAACAAGCCTTGGCATTTTCACCCCCCCACACACACACGCAATGTTCAAGCTTCACTTCACCACTCACTCTTGCACACTCAACAAACACTCCTAGACATTCCGAAACTGAGGACTGGGGCCACGGAAAGGAAACAGGCAGCTTCAGCCTTGTCTCTACCACCTCTGCCGTTAGATGAACCTGTTATCCAACCCCATCAACCACACACAGTCCAGGAACAAAAATCGAGAGTAAATGAAGCCAAGCCTGTGGGTAAAGTGGACACCTTGCCAGCCCTGTGACCATGGATGGTGACTTCACCTTTTTGGGCACCAGCTTTCCTCCCACTTTTTTCCCCTCCCACTTTTAAATAGAGGTAATAATTATGCCCTCTTCATAGAGCTGTTGTGAGGACTAAGTGGAACGGTGTGGCATGCGGTGAGTGCTGTGTTAGTGTCCACCACTATTACTTTAGGCTAGAAGGTGATGACTTCTCTTTAAATGCCTTTAGGCATCCACCTGAAAGTGCTTCCACTTGTCCTTTGAATCAATAAGGAGTAGTTGCCAACCTCCAGTTGGAAACAGTGGTTTCCAGTCTCCATGACAGTTTTCCATGACGGTTTCACAGTGGCTGCACTAGTCTCTGACACCACCACCACCACCACGTATAGGGGGAAGGTCTTGGCTTTGGGGCTGGACAGTCCCATGGTCAATCCCAATTCTCTCCCTGTCAGCTGTGCACCCCACGCAAGTTCTTTCCCTCTCTGAGCCTCTAGGTCCTCTTCTGGATCCATTGTAAAGAATTAAAATGTGGTGGAGACGTGGCACTTAGCAAGCATATATGTGCTCATTTCATCCCTAAATACTTCCTGTGTGCCTACAATGTGCCTGCCACCCCAAGCCTCACCTTCACAACCAGGGTGCTCTTCTAAAAAAAAAAAGGTTAAAACCCAAACCCTCCACTGCCGCCTGCCTTGGCAACAAGCTCCTCATGACCCAGCCACTCACTCCTCTGCCCCTTATATTCCTCCAAGTCCTGCCCACTCTTCTCCAGCCATACTGGCTTCCTACGTTTTAAGTTAACCTTTGCTTTTCCTGCTGCCTGGAATGGTCTCCCCCAGACACCCCAAGTCTCTGATACCACCAGAGTACAGACCTTTTCGTCATTGGATTCCCAGGGTCTACAATGTACGGCATTTGGTAGGTGCTCAATCATTACTTGGATGAAAAGCTGGATGGGTGGAAGTCTATATGGATATATACATGGTTGAATCTGTTGGACACCTACTATGTGCCAGGCACTTCTAGGAACCCAAAGATCAATCAGGCCTGTTGCTGGCTGCAGGAAGCTCCCCACTTGGTGAGGAAGACAGATACAGGAATATATAACAGGTAGGCTAAAGTTGAAGACATTGGATAGCAGAGAGGACAACAGGGTCCCTAAGGACAGCCTGGGCAAACCTGGAGAAGAGACGGATAAAAAAAAACAAAACAAAACACCACCCAGGCTGAATGCTCTACAGAGAGTTGGGGTTTGCAAAAATACATGAGAACACCTACCCCAATGACTCCTCGGAAGCGGACCTCCCCAGAACTGAGCAGTCCCCGAGTGCTGCTTGGCTTCTGTTTCAACAGTTCCAAGAAGTCTTTGAAGTTGTAGGAGCCAGGCCCCAGCTTTTCCTTCTGCCCCAAGAGAAGGGAGATTGGAAGTTAAACTAAACTTTGGAAGGTCCACACAGGAAGGAGATTAACAGGCAGGGACAATGGTATTCACTCGAGGTTGCGTTCCACCTGATCCGGAAGCCACATTTGAAGTAGTCACCAGCGGCCAGGGGCCTGGCACACAAAGGAGCAAGGACCGTGAGCTAGGGCCTTACCTGCATCTGCTTCTCTTTCATGAGGGCCTGGTATTGGAAGTGGGGCAGCTGTGTCAGCCGGGTGGCTTCCTGGGCCTTGGCCCAGCCTGTGTCCACCTCCTTGCTCAGTTTCTTATTGCTGAAGCATGTCTCCTTGGAGCTGTAGGTCCCAGGTCCTATGTGGGACTGAGTCAGAGAGAAGTCAGAGGCACATAAGCCTTACAAATCCAAGTCACCCACAAAGCAAGCTATCCCCAGCCCCTTCCCCACCCAAAGGTAGAGAAACAAACAGTGCCTTTTCTCTGTCCTCCCCAACAGCAGGCCTGGCATCAAGGGACCTGGCACCTAACCATGACATCCTCCTCTCACTCAGGCAACTGTTATACTTTGCCAGGCTTTTTATTACTCATATTCCCTCCTTTAGTCCTGGGGCAGCATTAGAAAGTCTCTGCTATTAACCCCATTCATTGAGAACAACTTGTTCAAAAGCCCCAGCTAATGAGTGGAAGGTAGTGTTAGGAATGGAATCCAGCTCTCCGAGGTTCCAAACTCAACACTCTTCACCCTGTAACCCCAAGAGTCAAAGAATAATCCGTAGGAGAAAGATGGACAATCTCTTTCCTTGTGATTAACTGCTTCTGAAAACCCACTAGAGAGTCAGCTATGGGTCAAGTCCAACTCTATGGTACACAACAGCAACGCAGGGTTTTCTTGGCTATGATGCTTATGGAAGCTGATCACCAGGCCTTTCTTTCAAGGTGCTTCTACAGTTCCCTGTATACTAAGCTTATACTTAATTCACTGATCCACGTTCTGCATCATACTCTGTGCTGTGGGCAGTGGTCACATCCCTCTCATAGAGCTCAGAGCTCTGGAAGTAGGAGCAGAGGTTGCCCACCACAGTAGGAACACACAGAGGATGAGTGGCTAAGGCTGCCTCTCCCAACTTACCACGCCCACGGAGTAATGTCTGGAGTATGGGGCCTCAGTGAAGGTGCTAAACTTCTTCCGGTTGGGATGAACAGCAGAAACATCAAACCTGTCAGGAAGTGGAAGGCCAGTAAGGGTGTTGCTGCCACCCAGACACTTGCTTGAGCATTCCTGGGCTTCCCAGGGAAGGGGGACTTTGGAGCAGACCCATGAAAGATGAGCAGGGTTTCTTCAGTGGCTTTGAACATATCCAGGCTGCCCCCCACCTCAGGGTCTTTGCCCCTGTTGATTCCATTTACTTAAATATTCCCTACCAGTGTCCCCAAAGTCTTTGCTCCAAAGTCATTTTTTCAGTATAACCTCACTCCTACCCCCAGGCCCCACCATATTCTTCAGTTCCTTCTCCCAACTCCATTTCCCTCTCTGCTGCTCATGGGCAGCATTTCCCATGCTTCCTTTCAGTTTCTTATCCATCCAGCCACTCTCCTCCCTCAAAGGGGGAAAATTCCACAAGTAAAGAGCTCTTCTCCTGTTAGTTCGCTGTGTCATCCCTGATCCTAGAACAGTGCCTGACACATAGTAGGTGTTTTCTTGCTTGTATTTTGAATGTGTACTTGAAGTAAAACAATTGATTGAAGTCCCAGACTTGTGAGGGAGTGTGACCATTTGGCTTCTTTGAACCTAGTGCATAGTATGACGTGCTTCTAATGACTTTGAACAATTTTACAATGGTAAAGAACTTTACACAGAGAAGTGTAAAGGTTTGAGTCAAAGAAGGGAAGTCCCAACCTTTGTTTGAGAATGAGTTTGTTTAAGGTGTACAGTGGGCCTCCAGGGTCTCCCAGGACTCACATCGGCCGCTCCAGCCCCCAGCCTTCCCCCACCTGGCGCTCTGAACCCCGAAAGGGGCCCCGCTGAACCACTTGCAGGCCATGGCGCCAGGCCTCCCAAGTCCTCAAGGTGTGACGGAGCCCCGCCTCTCACTCCTGGGCTCCTCCTTGGCTCCGGGTGCTGGGCGCAGCCGCTGCCATGGCAACCCAGACCTTACATTCCACAGAGAACTGCGCGCGCCTCCGCCCGCATTCTGCGCTCTCTCTGACTCTTTCATTCTAAAGCATGCTCAGCGCTGCCTTCCTAGACAGCCTTCCCTGGCGCCTGCAGATGCGATGACCCCTCCTGGTGTTTAATATGCATGCCATGTGGTCGGATTTGAGAGTCATTTGTTGAACTGTCGTCTGGTTTCCAGCTTTATCCCACCACCCAGCCTGGGGCCTGGCAGAACGAAGGTTCAGCCGATGCTTCTTAAATGTCCATCCTTTGCTGATGGGAAAGCTGAGGACCTCGGAAAAGGCAAAACTTTAGCAAAGAAGAGTATCTATGTGGTCTGCACCACTTAAGGGAGAAAAGAGAGGAAGAAGGAAGCACATTGCAGAGACCTGACTGCAGTCATCATGTCCAGACACCTATTTTCTCCCCTGACACCCACTCTGGGCAGGCACTATGTAGGGTGCCTGGGACCCAGAGTGATTCATCTCTTTTCTTAAAGACTAAATGAAGGGAACAATGCTCACAGAACCTGTGTGAAAGGAAAGATGCACAAAGCAGGGCAGATTTCCTGAAGAAAGAGAATCTCAAACTTAACATTGAAACACACCTACTTGGCCAGGCAAAGAAAGGAGGATATATTTCCTCACCAGACGGCATGGTCAGCTCTCTTCTCTCCATGCCTTTGCCTCCCACCAGTACCTGTCATCTTCAGCATTAGCCACTATTTGTTATGATCTACACAGTCAAATACTTTTACATAGTCGATAAAACATAGCCCTGGTACTGTCTACTTTCGAACATGATGCATCTGACATCAGCAATGATATCCCTAGTGCCACAGGCGTCTTCTAAACCCAGTTTGTATTTCTGGCAGTTCTCTGTAACTGTTCTGTGTTCTGTTCTAGCTTTTTTTTTTTTTTTTTTTTTTTTTTTTTTTATAATCTTCAGCAAGATTTAGCTTGCATGTGATATTGTTTTATAATTTCCACACCGTTTTGGGGAGTGGGAATAAATATATGAATCTCTTCCAGTCAGTCTGTCCTCCAGATTTCCTGACACAACCTGGTGAGCACATCTGAGGCTGCACCTATTTGTTGAAATATCTAAATTGGTATTCCGGTCAATTTGTGGGGCCTTATTTTTGGCCAATTCCTTCAGAGTAGCTTGAACTTCCTCCTTAATCATGGTTGGTTCTTGGGTATATGATACTTCTTGAAAAAGTTCTGTGTCAGACAATTTTTTTTGGTACAATGACTCTGTGTACTATTCCTATCTCTTTTAGATGCTTTCTAGACCACTCAATATATTGCCTAAAGCATCCTTATGTATTCCAACTCACAGCTTTAGTCCCTTCAGCCTGAGAAGTTCTTCCATTTTTACTTTCTGAGTCCAACTCTTTGTGTATTTCGTTATCATACTTCGCTTTGTCTTTGCAAGCTACCCTGTGAAATCCCCCGTTCAACTCTTTACTTCCTCATTCCTTCCCTTTGTTTTGACTCCCTGGCATTCCTCCTCTGTCTCTATAATGACTTTTTTCTTTCTTCATAGATGCTATTCTTTTTTATTTTTAATATTATTTAATGCTGCATTATTTACTCCTGAGCCATAATTTTTTTTGTTTCTCCAATTTCTTCTGGGCAACCTCCTCTTCTGGTTTAGGAACAGTCTGTTACTTGTCAGTAAGGATCATCTCAATATGGGAGGGGGAGCTCATGTAAGGGCTAATCTGACCATGAGCTCTGTAAATGTGGTGACATACCTTGGGAGCTTTGTTCACCTGGATGTGCTCAGTGACCAGAGAAATAACACCTAAACCCTTAAGTTCAGCATTACTCTATTTTTTTTAAGCATATTCACCAAAACCTGAGCACTCTTTGGGCCACCAACCCTGTACCTAACCACATTCATTGGTCTGGGCACACCTACTAACTCTACCATTGTGACACCAGAATGGGACAAACAGCTTCTGCAAAGTGACATCTTTCAAATACTTGGTGGTCTTCTGGATATGCATACCCTTGGTAGCCTGAGCAGTTTTCTGGGTGTTCTTAAAATGAACCCAGAGATTTGAGCCCCTTGATTTGCATGATTTTGTGTGATTTTTCTGGGTCGAGTAGCGAACCATTTGGGTAGATCACCTGAGGCCACTCACAGGAAAAGCATGTATGATATTCTTGGTATCATCCCACAGCTCCTCTGGTCTTCATTCATTAGTGTTCAAGGCCTCAAACCTGTTCTTGAGGTGATTTTTAAATTCAAGTAGGATAGACTCAAGGTCATATTTTTGTTTTTCTGGATTTGTTTAATTTTCTTTAGCTTCTTCTAAAAGCAAATTGAACTTGCACATGAGTAGTTGATGGTCTATTTCACAGTCAGCATGTGGCCTGGTTTTTACAGCTGATACTGAGCTTCTCCAATGATTTTTTCCACAGATATAATCAATCTGATTCCCATATTGTCCATCAAATGAAGTCCATGCATATAGTTGCTATTTGTGACTTGTTTGTTTAGTATTTACTATGGCTTGGGTTTAAGTTTACAGAGCACATTCATTTCACACTAAACTACACATACACAGAGAGAGAGAGAGAGAGAGAGTGAGTTTGGGGTGGCTTTTTGTTTTACTGTATGCAGATATTTTTTTAAAAAAATTTTATTCTTTGTTGCACATTTTCTTCTCCCTCTCTCTCCCTCAGCCCACCCCACAATGCATCCATTGTTTCAGATTGTCATACATATAACACCTAATCATATATTCTTTTTGCCATTTTTTTAATAATAGGTGTTTATGTGGTTCATGCCTGCCCAAGGATGCTACCAAAAAGGTACAAAATTCTATCATTTCATCTCCTGCCTCAACTCTATCACCAAGTCTGTATTTTTTTTTCTTTCTGTTGTGTGTGTATCATCAAATCAGATCCAACTGGCACTGGAGGAGACTACCCTTCCTTCTCCAGCGGAGCATCTGGTGGATTCAAACCGCAAACCTTCGGGATTGCAGTGCAGCTTCTTGCCACTAGGCTACCAGAGTTCCCTTCAAGTCTGTATTTTTGGCACATAGTAAGTTATCAAAGAAAAGTAATTTCCAGTACTCTTACAATAACCAAGAGTAAGCATTATGTCTAATTCTCTCTCCATGTGAGAGTGTGTGTGTGTGTGTGTGTGTCCAGGGTATAGTGCCTGACATATTAATGCTCAATAAACGCTGAATTGGTTGAATGGCAGATAAGTAATTTAATCTAGTCCAACTTCCCCATAATAAGTAAATTCTCAAAGACACTCACCTATACTTGAACTTTTGCACTGCTACGTCCTAACAGATGGCCTTGGGCACATTACCACCAATCTCTGGACTTTCATTTCCTTGTTGCTGACATTGATGTTTGGTTGTGGCTTCCTGTAGGAGCTGTTTTGTGGTGTCAGTGAGTTGTAGATGTGTACACATTGAATTATTAGTGTGGCCCACACCCACTTACATTGCTCCTTCTCTCCTGGCCTGAGTCTCCAGGCTGCAGAACTGATGGAAGAGTGACCACAGAGTTCAGGCCAGGAACCCCTCGGCTGGGAATCCTGGCTGCCAGGCAGGCCAGAGCAGGCTGGCGTGAGTTAGGCCCACAGCAAAGCCGCCAGTCCTAGTCTTCCCAAAGCCTTTCTGTCTCAATCATTTCCTTAGCATAACTCTTTCATTCTCTCCAGTGGCCCTATTATGACCCCCGTCCTGCCCCCATTCTACTACAGAAGCGAAAACTAAGGCTGAGACAGGGAGAGTAACTTGTCCTGGTCTCATTCTGAGGTATGCGGTTACCCTGTGGATATGGGACTCATAATTAGATTTAGGAACTCAGTGGTTTTAAGAGTGTCTAACCCACCTAACCTCCAAAGCCATCTGTTAAGTCAAGAGAGTTAAGCGAAGCTTCTCAGTCAGGATTTCCGCTTCTCCGGTGCAGTCTCTGCCTTCAGCCCTCCATTCCTTCTGTCACTCTCTATCGTGCTGAAACCTCCAGTCCCACCACACAGGGTACTGCTGAATCTCCAGGTCTTCTCACATGCCTTCCCCCCTTTGCTGGAATACTCCCACTTAAACCTCTCACACACATCTTCTTTATCTAAGAGTCAGTCTGAACAAAAGCCAAGCTTTCTCGGAGTCCATTTATGCCTCTCTCAAGCCAGGAAAAACTTGGATTTCATCTCATTATCACCAGCAATTTTCACTGGCAATTTTTCATCTAAAAAAGTGTTAATTTTTTTTAATACACAGGTGAAAAATGGTACCAGAATATTGTGTTCATTTGCATTTTTACAATTCAAGTAAAATCTTTTTTCTAAGTTGACTAATTGTTATTTCCTTTTGAAGATGTTGATCTGTTTTGCATGCATCTCCAGAAGCCAATCTTAGGTGGAATGAGGAGTGTGGTTGTGTATGACTGAGTCAGAGCTGACCCTCCAGTGGGTTTTCAGAGGCAGTAAATGTTAAAGGAGGAGATCGTCCATTATTCTCCCGCAGAGCAGCTGGTGGATTGAAACCACACACACCTTTGCTTTGGCAGCACGAGTCCTTACATCAAGACACAAGCCTTCAGGTTAGAGGTTAAATCCAGTCCTAGGGGAAAGACAGGCAAAAGTAAGAAGGGGCCAAGAGTGGTGTGGGAGTCCACAATTACCAGGTCGCCCCTAGTATCTCCTGTACCCCTACGGGAGAGATTGTCATGTTCATCTTAGGCAGGCAGAAACCGAGGCACAGAAGATGAAGTGACTGGACCAAGGTCACACTTGATTAGAGATGGAGAACGGGGATTAGAGGCAGCCAGAGGAGCTGCCCATAATCTCTCCACAGTGGCCCAGTGCTTAGTAGAGATGAGGCAAGAGAAATCCCCGCAGGGAAAGCCTATTTAAGTAATGGTTAAGGGAAAAAGTAAGGGAAGTGGCAGAAAATTCGTAAGGAAAAAGAACCCGGAGGAACAGCGAGGGAAGGACCAGTTCCACCTCTCCCAGTCATGGGGCTGGCGTGGACAGAGTGCAGCAGCACTCACGGAAGGAGGGCCTAGCTAGACTCAGCACACCAAGCCTGGCTTGCCCCCCGCCCCCCCCCCAATTTCGTCCTCTTTTTCACGTCCTCTTTTTCCTGCGAACCTCAGTTTCCTATCTACTGAGCAGAGTGAAGACAGGCCTTCTGCCACATGTTGTGTTTGAGCATCTGATTTGATAATACAGCTGTTTTTCTGGAGCACCTGGTTGTGCAATAAAGTCGTCTAAGAGCCGATGAGAGCGAAAGCGGAAACACCCACAGGGCTCTCCTGCAGCGTACGTCAGTACCCACCCATCCCCAGGAGGCGCCCAGCCGCTGGAGCCTCTGCAGCACTGACCCTCGCCCGCCGCCGGTCACTCAGGACGGCTCCATTCACTGCCCTCCGCAGACTCCGAGGCAAGGCCCCAGGAGCCCGTGGGGCAGCCATGGCGGAGCCAGAGGCCACAGTGGAGGACCTGGACGCCCTTATCGACGACTTGGACTACCTGCCGGGCCACTTCCACCTGGAGATGCAGCTAAACTTCGAGCCTAGCTCAGCAGCTCCGCTCCGCGCAAGGGACTTGAAGCTACAACGGGAAGGCCTGCGACAGGAGCTGGAGCTGGCGGCGGCCCCGCACCGGCCCGCCGTGCGCCACCTCCTGGGCGTCTTCGCCTTCTACCTGGACGAGCTAACCGAGGCCCGCGAGTGCTTCCTCCAGCTCACCCGCGACGACCCGGGGAACCTCAACGCCTGGGCCAACTTGGCGCATGTATACGGGCGGCTGGGGCAGGAGGATGAGGAAGAGGAGTGTGCCGGTCGGTTGGCAGCTCTCATGGGGCTGGCTGCTGGCCCAGAGGCCGCCGGGGACCCCGTCCGAGCCGCGCGCTGCCTGGCGGAGCAGGGCTACGCGCATGGCTTCGATGTGGGCTGCGCCAGCGCGGAGGAGCGCGCGCGTGTGCTGACAGCGGGCATCGCGCTCTACGACAAGGCTTTGGGCTACGCCAAGCAGGTGGGTGACGCCTGGTCTGGGGTCATGGCCCCTTGTGTCTGTAGGGATTCCATCCCAGCACCTCAAAATCTTCCAAATCTTGACCTTTTGGCTTCCCTATTACCTTCCCTTTGTACCTCTCCTGTTCTGCACCCCAGATGTAGACCAGGCTCCTCTTTCCTGCTCTAAGGGATGGGTCCATTTCCTAGCTGCCTCCTAAGTCTCTCTTCTCGCAATGTTGCAGATTCATCAATTCATCCCCTTCCTTTGATCTTCCAGGTTGATATCTGACCACGTGTCTGAGCACCCCACTAATGCCACAACCAGATATGACACCAGAAAACTTGTGCAGCAGCTTTGCTTCCTCACTTTCCCTTAGGTATTTTCTATTAGACCCCTGGTCTTGGCCACCCAACCTCCTCCTATCGGTGAGGTCTGGCTCCTGTGCAGCCTCCCTCTGCTAGGCAAGTCTCCATCATTTCCTGCCTGGACCGGCGTGGTCTTTGCCCTCCTCCATAGGGTCTTGCCTTTCCGTTTACCTGCTTATCCTTCCACCTTATCTGCCGTTCTGCTGTCAATGTCATGGTGCTTTTTTTTTCCCAAAATTTACTTTTTTTATTAATTTCAATGAAAATCTACAGAGACTTAGGGTTTCCAATCATTCATTGCTGCATTTTTCTCCCTGCCCACTCCCTCCCCCCTCAATTCACTCTTCACCTTGAAAAGTAAAAATCTTTCATTGTTATGCAATACCTCCCCCACAAGTCCACTCCACTGTACTGCCCTCATTCCTGACATGACAATAATACCCAAACATATATCCCTTTTAAACAGCTCTCTCCCTCATCTGTTGCAATGCAGTATACATCGTTCCCCCTCTCCTTCTCTGTCTTCCTTCAACCCCAATGTCAGTACCGTTTTACAACAGTGGCCATAATCCAATATTTGTCCTTTTGTGACTGAGATACTTCACTCAGTATAATGTCCTCCAGGGTCATCCATTTCACATATTTCATGAGTTCCTTATTTTTCAATGGTGCATAGTATTCCATTGTGTGACTATACCGGAGCTTCTCTATCCATTCGTTTGTTGATGGGCGCTTGGGTTCTTTCCAGCTCTTTGCTATTGCAAACAAAGCCACAATAAACATGGATTTGCAAAGATGCTTAATCTTGCTGGTCATGTCCCTCAGCAGCTTACAGTCCTCCATGGCATCCTACTGCCCAGCACATAAATCTGAGGCTCTTGGGTGGTTATTTGAGTCCGTCTCCACATGACCTACTTCTCCACCTTCCTTCTGCCAGAATCCCTCTGCAATCTCGATGTGTGCCCCCTTCTCCTTTCTCGTGTTTCCCATGAGGGAGAAGTCTCCTTAGCCTCTGTGAGCCTCAGCTTCCTCATCTGTAAAGTAGGGACATTCTTCATTTGGTTGCTATTAGTTGTTGTCAAGAGCCATGTGGTGCAGTGCTTAAGCACTGTGCTTCTAATGGGAATGGTTGCAGTGTTAACTCAGGAGAAAAATGTGGCAGTCTGCTTCTATAAAAATGACAGCTTTGGAAACTCTACAGAGCAGTTCTACTTAGCTCCTTTACGGTCTCTTTCAGATGGGAATGGCTTAATGGTAGCTTGGTTTAGATTTTTATCATTGTTGATGCTGTTAGATGGTATGGGGTTAATTTTCAACCCAGTCACCCATGTGATAGATTAGAATTACTTTGTAAGGTTTTCTACACTAGAATTTTTACAGGAACAGATCACCAGGTCTTCCTCTCTTAGAGTGGCAAAGTGGGTTTGAACTGCTAACCTTTCAGTCATCAAGCAAAATGCTTAACCATTGTGCTTCCAGGGTTCCTTGCTTATGCTATTATGAGTTAGTATTTGGAAAGCTTTGACAGAGTTGAGGAATATTAAAGCCCAGGACCTGCCTCTCTCCATAAAGAGCTTCTTTTCAATAAAGCCTGGGAGATCCTCCTGTGTGTAGGTAGATGAAGCCACCATGTGTGACCAACAAGGACTCTAATCTTAGAGTGTTCTTTTTATTTTTCAACCTCATGTTTTAAATCCAGAGCTCCCAGCTCTAGATGCTGTTTTGGCCCCAGTTTAGCATCATATGTGTTGAATGTGGTCACAACTACAAAGGAGACCCAGGAGCCCTGGGCTAGGAACCAGGAGGACCAGATTCTCATCCCAGCGGCAGCTGTGGGTCTTCACATTCGTGAAACAGGGGTGAGAGAGAGTACCATGTGGTTTCCAAGACCCATTCCTATGATCAGGAGATTTACTGGGGAAGATTTCTTCTTGGAAGAGGTAAGCAGGAGGGAGGTGGAGTATTAGGGTTGGGAACCTGACAGGAGCCACCTCCTTTTCTGCCACCAGTCAGCACAGAGGGCAGTGCCAGCTAAGAAAGTGCTGAGCAGGACACAGCCCGACGCCCGAAGGAGGAAGCTGATGTGTTCAGGTATTGAGACCTGGCTGCTGTCTGTGCTGTGCCCTTGTACTTGTCATAGCTCCTTCGTTCTAGACAGATCAGTTGTGGTTGGCCCTGCACACCACCGGCAGGAAAGAGTTGGGGATTATTGTGATGGTTAGAGGGGAGATCTTGCTTTGCTAAAATACCTGGTATAAAGCAGACGCTCAAGAAACAGTCACAATGAAGAGATTGGAAGGCAGCTACGGTCACCAACTGGACCACCAGCACACAATCATGCCTTCATTATAGGTAGTCATTCAGGGGGGCTGGGTTTGAGTTCTGGCATTATGTCACTATTTAATTTTTGGACAAGTGACTTTTCCTGTCTGGTCTTGGTATCTGCTTCATAACATTAAATAAGGATGATATCAGCCTCAAGTTTACTGGGATTATCCAAGTGAGTATGGGGTAAAAGCTCCCACTAACCAATAAATACTAGGTATCACTAGGTTTAGTGTCAGCTAGTCTGTCACTACTATGGGAATGGGAGAATTTGTGGTGTCACCCCCTACCCCTTCAGGGAACTCCTTCCTGACTCAGATCACACAGAATACTGAGTAATGTTTATGACCAATTTTAAACATAAAATAATATGTGATAAAAATAGTTATAAATTACTAATTCTAAAATATCTTTGATTATGTGAATACTGTTGTTGTTGTTGTTTGGTGCCATTGAGTTGTATATGATTCATAGCGACCTGATGAACAAAAGATCTGAGCCCTGTTCTATCCTGTGCCACCCTCACACTTTCTGACACACGGAGCCCATTGCAGCAGTCACCGTGTCAACCCCCTTGGCTGAAGGTCTTCCTTGCCTTCACTGACCTCCACCCTTCCTAGCATTGTGTCCTTATCTAAGGAATAGCCCCTGTTAGGACATGCCCAGAGCATATAAGGTGAAGCCTCATCATTCTTGGCTCAAAGAGAACTCCTGTTGCACCCTCTCCGAGACATATTTGTTTGTTCTTTTGGCCATCCATGGGATGTTCAGTGTTCTTCTGAAACATCACAGCTCAAAGGCATCCATTCTTTTTCTGTCATCGTTATTCACTATCCAGGTCTCAGCCCCATAGCAAGTGATCAGAAAGACTGTGGCCTGAATCAGATGCACCTTAGTCCTCAAACTGGCATTGTTACTTCTCAGTAATTTGGAGAGGTCCCTAACTGTAGATTTTCCTAGTGAAATGTGTGTTCTTATTTCCTGACTGCTGGTACCAAGGATGTTAATTGTGGATCCAAGCAAGATGAAATTATTGACAGTTTCAGTGTCCTCGCTATCCATCATGACACTGTCTGTGGGTCTAGTTGTAAGAATCTTTGATTTCTTGAGATTGAGATGCAATCCATAGCAAAGGCTGCATTCCTTGATCTTCTGCAATAAGTGCTTCAAGTCCTTCTCACTTTTAGCAAGCAAGGTTGTGTCACCTGCATAATGCAGATTTTGATGTGTCTCCTTCCAATCCTGATGCCACATTACTCTTCATAGAGTCCAGCTTCTCAAATAATATGCTCACTGGAAAATTTGACACTGAAAATTTCAAGAATGAACAGGAACCAATGGTAATGAGTATGGAAGTGGAAGCTGCATTGAAGGCATTGACAAAAAAGCAAAGTTCTAGAAATGAATGGGATACCAGTTGAATTGTTTCAGTTAACAGATTCAGCCTTGGAGACACTCACCAGTCTATGCCAGTAAATTTGGAGGACAGCTCTCTGGCCAACAAATTAGAAGAGGTCCATATGTATTCTCATTCCCAAGAAAGGTAATTCAGCTGAATGTGGAAACTATTGAACACTATCATGATATCTCATGCAAGCAAAATCTTGCTGAAGATTATTAAAAAATATCTGGAACAGTACATAGATAGGGAGCTGCCCGATGTTCAAGCAGGATTTAGAAGAGGCCGTGGCACCAGGGACATTATTGCTGTTGTCAGATGGATCCTGGCTGAGCGTAAGGAATAGAAGAAGAATGTCTATTTGTGTTTTATTGATAATGCAAAGGCGTTTGACTGTGTGGATCATGACAAGTTGTGGCTGACATTGAGAAGAATGGGAGTTCCAGGACACTTAATTGTGCTCATGCAAAACCTATACCTGGACTGGGAGGCTGTTGTGCAAACAAAGCAAAGGAACACTGTTTAAAATTGAAGAAGGAGTGTGACTGAGTTGCATTCTGTCTCCATACCTATTTAATCTGCATGCTGAGCAAGTTATTATTTTATTCATGTGAATGTTGTTGTGTTATTATGTGCCATCGAGTCACTTGTGACTCATAGTGACCCTATGTACAACAGCTCTGAACTCTGCTCTATCCTGTGCCAACTTTATTGTCTCTGACACATCTATCCTCATTATCCCAGTCACTGAGTCAATCCATCTTATCAAGGGTCTTCCTCTTTTGCACTGTTCCTTCACCTTTCCAAGCATGTCGTCCCTGTCCAAGGACTGGTCCCTTCTTTCCCGTCAGATGAAGCCTCACAATCCTTGCCTCCAACAAAATTATTTTGTATATTCTTTCCACAATGAATTACAATATTATTAGTAT